ACCAAAGAAGTTAAGCATGATAGTATATACCTCTAGTCCTCATTTTGTACATTTTCATTTAAATCAGTAAGATGATTTGAAATTTCCTATTGGCATATTATATTTTTCCTATATCTAGTCTGATCAAAATTTATTAGAAGAATATGGAGAATTGCCATTAGAAACGTAGGAAATTCTGAGAACATTTTTCCTAAGGTGTAGCTGATTGCCCTTGGCACTTTACAGGGGTGGGCTAGAAGAATTATAAATTATGAGAACATTAGATAAGTATCCTCGGGAAAGCCTCTGTGGTAGTGATTATTATTACAGCTATTATCTAGTCAGCAAAGTTAATGCTGGCCTGTTTTTTTTAAGAGCAGGGTGTATGTTAATAGAGTGTTCAGTATTCATTGCAAAGTCTTGTCTGTTTTCTAGGTGAGATTCTAAAACCCCTCCTTTTTTTTTTTTTTTTTTTTTTTTTTTACAAGACAGGCAGACTTCATTAACTTCAGGTTTAATTTAAAAAATGAATGTGGAACTTATTGGCTCAGCACCTTAAAGAATTCCGTGTTTAATAATTGTGAAGGCTTTCCATCAGATCTGTCTCTGTGCTGAATTAGTAATGTTGCTGACTTACTGTTTTAGAAGAGGAAGTCCTTGACCTACTGGGTTGAAAGAATTGTGACTGCTCTGAACCTTTGTGGGTCCTTTAGCTCTGCCATATCCCCTGTGAATAATTAGAGGTATTTGAAGGTATTGCTGGAGAAGCCAATTTGTGTCTTTCACTTTGCATATTGTTGAAGCCTCATGAATTAATCATCAGCAGGGCAAAAAATTAACTTCTTCAGACACATATTTTGATGGGTCATGAGGGAGAATGTAAAGTGATCTGTAAAATATTCTACTGATCCGCTAAATATTATACCTACAGGCTAATTTAATGGAAGAAATAGCTTCCTTTTCCCCTTTCCTAACAGAAAAATGCACCAAAAAAAAGGAGAAAATCAAGCTTCATTATTTTTCTAGCATCGGAAGGCATTAGAAATTCAATCACTTAATTTGTCAAGTGCTTATACAAACAATTCTGAAGGCTACATTAAACAAATCTTGAGAAGACTTTTGTATATATTTGCTTCTATATATTGAGTTTGTTTGGGGTTTTTCTGTTTTGTTTTTGTTTATTTTTTAGCAATGTTAAATGACATCTTTAATCCTTAAAGCATCTGATCTGCAATCCTTAAAGCATCTTTAATCAAAAATATGGGGAGTGGGGAGTGTGTGGCGCCTTAACTGTCTTTGACCAAAAAGTTGCCAGTTGTCTTGTAACATTCTAAATATCTGGAGGTGGGGTGGTTCTTTTATTGGTGTGCTAATATTTAATTTTTTATTCATTCTAGCAAACGAGACCGAATTAGCATTCTTCTGTGAGGAAGATTACAGAAACTACAAAGCTAATCCTGTTTCAGCCTGGTGAAGATCCCAAGAGATTGTTTTGTTTTCCCATACCTGTTGTAAATTTTCCTTATTCCGCTTAATGAGATTTTTCTTAAAGATCAATAAATCCTAGTGGATTGCTTTGCAAACAGTGCAATTCCCTTTCTTATAGAAATTAATTTCTGTCAATATGCTAAGACTGAGAGCAGGAAAACTGGGGGATATAAATTACTTTTCTTTCTTGCATTTCTTTTTCCTTGGCTTGCCTCTGGTGCAGGCAGTGCAATCTCTGACCTGTGACACCGTTCTTGGTGTGAGCCTACAGCAGACAGTAGCTATGTAGGGAGATTATACAGTGCACAGTAAAATCCCATCAAAGTACTGACTTCTAATGAAAATGGAAATGTTTTATGACCAAATCACTGGGTATCTGAGAGAGACTGAGAAAATCTTTCTGTTTCAAGCCATAGCTTTACTTGTCTCATTTTATGTTTGGTCTCTTTTGTTGAAATGGTGCAACTGGCAAGTGTTTCATGCTCTTCACTGGTGAATGCTTTCCTTTATATTCTCTTCCAGGCCTCTTTAGCATGCTGAAAGGGACAAATGATTGTTGGGAGGCTTTTGTGTTCAAGGACCAGCTGGCCTGTTTCTAGCTTTACTTCATGGAGACACCATCATATAAGAGGTAGCAACTTGAATTCTGCCAGGACTGCATAGGTAGGAATTGGGCATTTTTCCAAATGGAGTGAAAGCTTATGGTTTCAATTCTAAGAATAAAACCTGGATGACTGCATTTTTGTGAGGAGGGGTCCTGTCTGTAAGCCACATGTCATCAAAACATTCTTTCCTGCTTTCCAAGAGCCAAACACTCTGTGGCTATATGTTAGTTCTTGGTAACTCCAGGCTTTCCTCCTACATTAGCCAAATCAAGAATTGGAAAAAACAATCATGCGTCCAGTAAAGTACCTTTATATAGATACAGTGTATGGAAGTGCTGTGCAGGGGGTGCCAAGGTGGGGCACTGTGCCTTTAAGCCTCTCTTCTCTGTAATAGAAGTGATGCCAGCTGTCTGTCTGAGCGTGCTTCTTGGGCACAGACCCTGCTAAATCAAATGAGACCTCATGTGCAATTGCTTTAGACCCACACATCTACCCTTGGCTCTGGGTGAGAGCTGACACCACCACTTCCACAAGAGACTTTCCAGAGAAGTAAGCTTACAGTTTCCTAGAACTTTGATTTTTTTTCTTAATTGACATATGATAGTGAAAGCAGATGTGTGATCTCCAAAGTATCTAAATAAAAGTTCTCTTTACTTTAGATGTAGGGCCAAAGAAACCTCTCTGTATTGTTCCTGACTTATTTTCTTCATCTTTCTGGACAACTCTGGTTTAGGCTGGTTTTGGTAGCTGGTGTTACTCACCAGCAGCTTTGCTTTGAACAGAGTTTTATTCTCTTGTGAAAGTACTCTACCCTTTGTCAGCTGCAGTCAAAGGGCTGATTGTGTCTTTATCTTGTAAGCAGGAGTCCTGGGTCACTGAAGTCACCTGTGTTCTGTTGGGATTTAGGGGCTGTTACGTGTGCTCTGATGAATTTGTGAGGAGAACTTACCCCTTGTCTCCTCTTGTCCAGGCTGCCTTTCTGTTGCTGGTACCCGCCCCCCACACGTGGGCCTGTGTCTCAGCTACCTCCTTACAGTCTGCCTTGTTTGCAGATTAATTTGGCTAATATGAGTTCGTACTCCTCAGATGGTTTAAGCTAGTGCATTGTACTGCAGAGTAGACCAGCTTTGTTCAGCCAAATTCATAATACTGAAGGTAACTTTGTAAGATGTAGATGGCATTCTGGAGAGGTCAGTGTCTCAGGACTGACCTCCCAAGGCACCTGCATGACATCGGTCAGCACATGCAGGCTCTTAGACCAAGCGAACACTGTCGTTCTTTTCCTCCTGTTCTGGGAATCTGACTTTTTTCTACAGCCCTTTCAGACAGATTTGGATTGGTTTTGTGATCCCTCTTCTCTAAGGCATTTGTGCTTTAAGAAGTCACCAAACTTTAATAACTGTTCTTTCTAGGCTAGTACAGTTACAGATGTTCAGTGGCACAGTAAAAGAGCAATTCTACAGCATCAGTGAGAGAACAGTAGATGCTTTAATGCAAATATTTCAGAACAATGTGCCTGGCACTCCAGATGAGCTTCTCTTTCCAAGAGAAGAGTTAGACTACTGCTTTGTGAGCTCAGTTGGCTCTGGCAATGGCACTTCTTTGGCTCCTTTCTGCAGCAGCACAGTAGAGCCTTTTGTATTGCTCTCAATAGCCATACTTGTAAACTGCTTTCTTTCTGAAGTGTTTTTCTACTGTGTTTTTTTTCTAATTGGACCTTTAATAATGCTTCTTTCAAATAAACCCCACAAAACCAGAGATAATAACTGAGAACTTGTTAAGATAGATGCTGTTCCAACATTTTTCAGTGGAATATGACATAGCCTTGTGTCAAAGTAGGTTTGATTCCAGGTTTGTTGAGAACTGAATGAAATCTGTGAACTAATAAATTGCTGGCTAATAAATTACTGAAGGCTGAGATGTCTTTACCCATGTTGTTATGAAATTCTCTTTCTATTGGAGGAAACCTCACGCAGAGTTGGTACCATGTTTTTTTATCCTGGCAGAGGCCACAACTGGCATTAGTTTACAATTACTGTGAAGCAGAGGTGGGTTCTCCATAAGGTGTAGTGGTGTAGCACTAGGTTTCATCTTTCAGTATGATGTCCTTGGAGCCTTTCATTCCTTTTTTTTTTTTTCCTTAAAGAACAGCATCCAGGGTGGACACTGAAGTAAGACACAGTTTCTGGGTTATACCACTGTAGCAGGGCATGCTAGTCAGACTGGAAACTGGGGGTGTGTGGGGCTTGAGTGTTTCTTGAAGGAAAAACAAATATATCACTTTGGAGAGACTGGAGTTTTGGTTAGGAGGTGGGGAGAACAGCCACTAAAGGAGAAGAGAGGAAATTGGTGAAGGAATTCTGAGGAAACCACAGTGTAACTGAATAAACATGAAAAACCTTCAGTGTAAAACACTCTTGGCACAGAAATGCTGGAGTAGCATTGCTTTTTATAGCACTAAAGGTATGAAAATGGTGCATTTTAATAAGTTTTGGAATTGAACTCATAAACTGCTGGAATAGGCATCTTGCTTTTCTGTTTTTGTCATGTTAGGGTTTCTGCATGCAACAGTTTTTGTGTTTTTCTGCCCAGAGGTAGTTATGTTGCCTCTTGAAGAAGCAAGGGCTGAGAAAACTGCTGACACACAGAGCTGAGTTAAATATTGACAGTTACCAAGGGCATAAAGGAGTCCTTAAAGATCTGATATGTGCCGCATCAAAGTTGGGAAACTGTTTTATGTGATGTAAACATTCTGTCTTAAAGATGATCCAGAGATGGGTTGTGAGCTGTGGCATTTCTCCTTCACTATTTGGGAATATTCAGCACATCCTCTGACCGATCAGTTACTTAAAAATGCAAGTAACAGTCCAAGAGTTCCCACAGCCATGATGAGACAGCCATGGGTCCTGTTCGTGGGAACCCATAGCCACAGAAGTCCTGAGTGTCCAGAGATCAAGAATGGAAAACCAGAACATGCTGGTAGAGCTGGTAGGACCCTGGCTGCTGAGCAGCAGCAGCCAGCTGGAGGTGTTACAGATGCTTAAGGCAAACCAAGCTTTTGCCTTTTGAACAGTTTAGACTGGGATCAGTCTTCCTGGTTGGTGCCTGATCCTTCTTCCATGACTTTCTATCTGTAGTACTACTTGGCACAGATTTGCAAACAATTAATGAGTCAAGCAACAATGCCCAATAGACAATTTTACTACTTTTCATATTGACTTTTCCCTACTATTTACTTTCCTATTGGGGTTAAAGAAATGGACACACCTTTCCATGTTTTCCCAGCCCTTTAGTTCTTCCTGTCACCTCTGCTGATCTTCAGGGCTTTAATGGTTAGGTAGCAGTGTTTTCCTGGGGGGATGAATGCACTTTTCTTGTATTAATGAAGAAATATATTTTGAAATTAAGAGGAGACATTTTCTATGCTGTCACTAATAGTGCACAACAAAGGATGCTGTCTTGCTTTTACGGGAGAGCTTGCATAGGACAGCACTGTCTGCTGGTCAGTGGAGCAAAAATATTTTCCTCATAATGTTTTATATCTAGGAAGGAAATACGAGAAGGTACATCAGGAATGCAAAAAAAAAAAAAAGGCAGCAAAAATCAAGTTCTATTGGCATAAACTGTCTTTGTCTGCAGAGAAAGCCACCAGATGTCAGCACAGCCTGTTCTTTTTCATTCTCCAGGACCTGTGCAAGCCATGAAATCTGTAATGCTTATGAAAAGTGCTAGTCTGTGAATTAGTTCAGCCTACAAAATCTGTACGAGGGATCTGGTGATGAAAGCTGAATCTTTCCTTGCAGAAAGCATTCCTTTTTATATTAAAATCAAAAAGCGGCAAATTGGCCTGGTGTCAGTACTCAAGTTCCTCTTGCCAGAGAGCACCCTTTGCGGAGCCAGTTCCAGTGTGTCTAAACCTTTGCATGCTGTGAGGAGGCATTTGCAGAACGTTCATTTGAAGAATTGTCTGGAAAAGATCAGTGTTAATTTGCTGAGGTTTTGTAAAGTAGACTTCAAGAATGCCAATTTTTTTTTTTTAGGCACAGGGAAAACCACCCAGAACAGACACACATGCAGAGCAGAGCAGAACATCTTCAGCAACATGGCTTAAACACACAACAAATGCATGCTGCATGCTTCTTACCCTCAGCTCCTGCCTTTTCTTCCCTGTCCTGTGAGGGCTGAGGAGAACCTCGTGCTCTGTTCTGGGCCACGCTTTCTGAGCTGTGAGGGGCTGAGATGGGAGGTGAGTTTGAGAGCCCCAACCCAAGCACTGTGCACAGCTTTATGCTGTCAGTGGTAGAAGCGTGCAGAGATGCTGCCTGGTTAAAAGGGTAAATTTGAGTTGTTGCACAGGCACAAGGTGTAATGGAGCTTTCTGCTGAGATTGCTGTCACTTTTCTTCCAGCAGCTCGCATATGCTAGGGACGCTATCAGAGAGGGAAGTGACAAGTAAAGCCTGGCTGACCTAAGCTCATCCTTCCTTC